CCCCCCCCCCCCCCCCCCTTAATAGAAGCTAATCTAGTAATGCACCTTGAAAATAACATTGTTTTAAAGCGATGTATGAAAAAAACAAGGGTAAATATCGTATAAAATGTTGCAGTCTTTGGTGACCAAGCAGCAGGGAGTGGGTGGTCTATGAGGAGGTGGTCTAGCTTCTGAAGGTGCTGTCAGGGCTCCGTAACCAATGTAAAGCTCACAACGCAGACCGACACTTAAGCTCAGATAAAGACCGTAGGTTTAAAATAGCTTCTGACCTACAGGAAGCTACCTTTGCCCCATGTTATTGATGCTGTGAGCTAAACATGCCTAGAGGCATGGACTGTGGGTCCTCTGTTCTCACACACACACACACACACACACACACACACACAAGCACACTCACAGATCAATGGCCCCTCCCCCTGACTGATGATTGATTGTGAAGTTCATTACAAAGTGTTGGATATGACCACTCTAATGGGGATCCATCACTCCACCTTGAGGAATCATGGCCTCCTAAAGAGAGACAAATGACTCCAACTCTCATTAACACAAATCTCTCATTTTCCCCCTGTGTATGCCCCGATTGTTTAATAGGGACTCTTCCTTTTGTCTGTCTTGTCAGGGATTTTGGGAAATCTTGCTATTTCTATATTGCAGGTAGCTAAAATAAATGAGTGTTTACACCATAGTCTGCAGTGTTGAGTCAATGCGGGGAAGAGGTAGGCATGCAGAGAACAACAGAGGTGAAATTACCATGAAGTAGTTTCTCCCGAAAGTCCATGCTGAGGCAGCGTGGTCGCGGCTCCTTGGCGAATGCCTGGCCGTGAGATCCTGTTACGTTTGAACTTCTAAGGAGATCAAGCTTTCATGCAAAAGTTTTTACTGGAACTTGGCAGTGGCATTCGGCCAAAGCATGAACATGAGATTGTCTCCAACCATTATGTAAATCATCTATTCAAAGGAAGGGAAGTTTTGATTGGAAGTTGTTCAAATCCTTGTGAATCCTTCTTTCCAGGCCCCATCACGTATGAAGGAGGTCTGCCAGACTGTAAGATGAATTGGCCGGGCAGTGGTTACACACTGGGTCAGAGTATTCATGTGCACTGCGGAAACAGAAGAAATCACGTAGGATTCTGCCATTGAGAACGCATGCGCAGTCTATAAAGAAGCATCAAGAAACAGATCAAAGGTTCACAATAGTCGCGTTTGTTTTAAATATGGTATGTTTTCCTGTAAACTGTGAAACTTTCAGAGACGTTCAGAAAGTAGTATTTGTCTCCAAATTAAATTCATACGCAATCTTTAAAACAAAAAGTGGCATAGGCTATGTGCCCTTAGGAAATGACAAGTATTATACCTAGAATTTAGACAATGAGTATAGTCGAAAGCTTCCTGATTTCACGATGTTATTGTTAGAGAAAATGCCATTTCAGTAGGGGAGTGACACAATTATTAGCCCATTGTAATGCTATGCCGGTGTTTTACTTTGGACTTAATGTCCCATAGAAAATGTTTAGCTAAGGGGAATATTTGCAGCAAGGATTTCCGTGCTAGTTTAACGGGGGCATTCTTCCAGCGCAACCGCTTAAAGAATGAGGTGAGTGCTGTTCATGACAGTGTACAGTGCGTGTTGCGGCACTGCCATCGGAACTGGGTGTTTGGGGTGTCTTAGCTTCTGTACTTCGACTCAGCATTAAGCCTTTCCCCAAACGGAGCGCGAGAAGTCCCAACTAAATGAAGAGAAATTATCATTTAGCCCACTACTATTACAAACATAATCATACCAATTAAACATTCAAATTAAGCGATCATTAAGTTCCGCCAACATATAATCATATCGTCTTAACTTATTGACACATTTCTAAATTGAGAAATCCATTTAACTGAGCATTTAAGAGACGGAGTTTTACCTGTCCCGTAAGTCACGTGACAGAGGGTCGCTCCCCGGAATGCCAATAAGCCGCAAAGCGAGGCGTCGACTGCTAAACTGTCTCGGGGAAAACGCAGCATAAAGCGGCTTACTTCACTTCTTCTAGCTTAGATCCAACGTTTTCCACTTAAAGGAAAAGACTGTATGTCATGGGATACATTTCTGGCAGACTGTGGAGGCGCACAGATTTACATGAGACTTGGAGAAAGTGAACATCAGGTTTGCGTTTACTTTTGCTTGGAGAGAGAAAGTTGAAGAGACAAGCTAATGAAAAAATATACATGTTTAAATGTCTGTGAAATAGTACTGGTTTAAGTATTTCCTTGGTTTCCTCAAGAAAGATAGGCCTACATGGGCATGTTTATCTATTAAGGGTAACCTCAGATTCCTAAGCAAAATATGGAAATTTAGACCAATGAACTACTGCTCTTATTTCGACGAATGTTTGCCTACCAGTGAATTAGTAGGTCATATAATAAATAAAATAAAATAAAATACATTTATATGAACCATATCTCAACGAAGAGCTACGCCAATTAACGTCTTATAATACAGATAAGGCCTGAATGAAATGTCTGTTAAGCATTTAGCTGTTCGCCTCAGATTTGCGATACAAAATTTTACACCTTGTAAGAAATGCAGTCGAGGTCTCCGTCTTCTTCTAAATTTAAAATACTTAGTGTGATATTTTCTCGCTGGAAAAAAAAATATATCTTTCGCAAGACGGCTAAGACACTTGTGGAGAGAAACAACAACTTTATAAAATAATTGTCATTTATCCCCTCAAATATTTTGCATTAATTGGCAAAATATTTGGAACCAGAGCATAATATAAAATATTGAGTAGGCCTCTCCAGTGAATGGTTTCGTAAAAGTTAAAAAAAATCTTTTTTTTCTTCTCACATTATTCACCCGTATTCCCATTTAGATTTTCAATATCCCAGCTAAGACATGGTTTCAACAAACCCTAACTCATTTTTAAATTACATAATAGCATTTCAAGTGTCGTACCCACGTCACAATATTAACTACTAAATTAGTAATTTTCACATGAATTAATTTATTGAGATCAAATATTTACAGATAGACTATGTAAATCTTTTTCAGACGGGCCGGTGAATTATTTATTCACAATATGAAAGTGACATAACTTGCTTAGATTATTTATTTCCTTCACAATTTATTTTTCACAAACATCTGTCGAATACAGTTTCTACGGTACCTAAACGCCAACATTGAAAAGGAACATGCAGATTGTTGGGCTCAACTGAAACGATGAGAATTTTTACAACATAAAGTGTAAATCGGTTTCAACAAGTTGGCCGATAAGCAAACATGCAGCAAACTTACGTACTCAGTATACCACACTATAACATATAAATATTTTTCTTAAAAAAGAATTGTATTCAATCTTATTTAATAGTGCACTTTGTGTCGCTCTGACACAGTTAATATTTACATATTTACAAAATAATAAATAAGGACGCGTGTACATTTTCCAAAATCAACCAGGCAAATTGATTCGTGATATTAAGTAATCAAATTTAACAATGAATATCTTTTCCGTCCGTTAAGTCGGTCTTCCGATATTAGGGGATTTCCTATCATAATTAGCACCTTGGAGAATAACCTTAATAGGCCTATCAATTTTGACACATAATGCAACGGAAGGATGCAATGTCCGTTTAAAATAACCACGTGGCCGTCGTTTTGCCGTCGGAGATCCTGCTCTATGCGTCATGCATGTTCAAATAAAGTTGCTTATTTGTCAGTGTTTGTATAAGAAACGTACACACTTGCACCGTTACTCAGATCGTTCATGGCCTACTTCCTTGTTCTATCTGCTGATGTTGACTCCTGACGGCAAATCTGTTGACGTGCACCGGGATGGGGACCACAATTTTTGGGTTCCTTACTGGTTCCCCCGATCTGTTGTTGACGTTGCCGGCTTTAATCCGTTTCCATTTGGCCCGTCGGTTTTGGAACCAGATCTTGACCTGGACCTCGCTCAGTTTAAGTGCGTGTGCAATTTGTGAGCGCTCAGTCAACGAAAGGTACTTTTTACAGTGGAATTCTTTCTCCAGTTCTAATAATTGCTCGCTGGTAAAAGCCGTTCGTCTTCGCCGACTCTTCCCAGCTGAACTCCCCGGCGGTAGAGGCTCTTGTGACCCAGCTTTGAGTTTGTTCTTTTGCGACAGCGAACCGCAATTGTTCCCGTCCGAGAAACTTTCGTTCTCGCTGTCTGCAGAGCTGTCGTCCTCCCTGTCGCTGCAAGGGGTCTCCGTTGATTTGAGGTCCAGTTTCTCATCGTCTGAACTGTAGAGTTTGGTTTCTCCTGAGCAGCAATAAAGGCCACAAGAAAACACGTCGTTTTAGCCCTTAAATACATTCCATGTGACTCACCCGAAACCTTGCATTATTACACAAATCCACTTGCTTTTCTGGTAGCGATTACTGATTACACCTAATGGTTAAAATACCAGACAATCTCAGGGACATGTTGTATGGGATGAAAAGGTAAAAATCGTCTCACGTAGCCTAACTATTGAAGATGTTATTCACTATAACACTGGACAGTCTGTTTCTGTTAAGCGGCTACGCGGAGATGTTTTTCATAGTAATATAGGCCTTAAAATATTGTCATTTAAATAATATTGCTGCTTGAATTAAATTCTTTTTATAAAAGATACCGAATATGTAACACTTCTTTTAGTTACTTGCATTGTAGTCATTTATTTGGTTGTAATAAAACGGGTATATTGTGTACAACATTAAAATGCTATTAGCTTAATTTGGAAAATGCAGTTAGAGACAGAATCCCTACGCGCAATTTCATTCTGTTACCTTTTTATGGTGTGTTGTAGTGTAACCTGTCACCGGCCATATTCTAGGGCATGTTAATAGTATAATAATAATAATAATAATCATAATAAACATGATCCGTATTTAGATGGTATGTTTTATTAATTCTATTTAATTCACTAATATGTATTTAGAGGCAGCTAGTATATAAGAGTTTGGAGGGAAGCTAAAATATTTTTTTCCTGAAAAAAGTGGACCAATGTTGATTTTTGTAGATATTATTAACTACGTTCTTACGTCCATTAACCTTCTATAACCGCATGGTGAATCCAGATCCGCTCCGTACCGTCTACTTCAGATCTGAAAGTTGGTCATTTGTAGTCATTTATTTAATTTTAATTAAAATTTTCAAATGTTTCATTATTGTTTTTAAACAAAAAGATTTTTAGGCTAAAATAAATAACTATTTGAATAACTACTTTGAAAAGAGTATTATTTTCGCAGAATCACTATATTAATTAAGGCCGTAAATTATTCACGGTAATTTAACGTTCGGTTTATGTCGACATACTTATTTTATCTATGCACTTATGTGGGTCTATACGTGCACGTGGCAACAAGTTTCTGCAGTCTGACCTACAGAGAGCTTGTCAGAGGTCTCAAAGCTATAGTTGTTGTGCTTTTGATGTAACTCACCTGTGATGGTCTGAAAAGTTTCCGAGAAGTTGAGCAGTTCTGAGCCCTTGTCCCTTACGGGCAAATCCTCCGAGTGTGGGCTCTCTTGTCTCCTTATCGCTGGATCCGAGCTCAGCCGGGGTCCCGGAATCTCTTGCGGCGGATAAAAACTATCCGGCGGGTCAGAGAAGCTGGGAAGTGTGGCGGTAAGGGCGACCATGGAAGGCATCCCCTGTCCCAGACTGGCGCAGAATGTGTTGGTGAGACGTCCGGCAAACGAAGCCAAAGGGGCCAGCGGCGGGATGCCTGACTGTAGAGGCGAATGAGACAGGGCTTGGGGGATTACCAGAGGTCTGTACGGCATGAACATCGGGTAACCCGTGTAGAGCAGGTGCCCCGGCCGCGGCTGAGGAGTCCCAATTAACGAATCAATGGAAAACGCCGTACCTTGGCCGCTTGGTCTCTGCATTCTGGTCGCGAACCAAATATTGCTTTATGTTCTAAAAGTACTCCTCACTTTAAGTTAGGAAATCCCTCCGATCCCCGTACAGCGGAATGTGTGTACTCCTTCTGCCGTTTTGTGGTATCCTCCGGATCTCTTACGTTAATACTGAGTGCCTTTACTCCGTCCTCTCCTTAGGAAGCCAAATCGCTGACTGCGACCTGCCGCTTATTCGCTTCTCTCTCACTCCGTTTCTCCCTCTGTCACACACACACACACACACACACACACGCACGCACGCACGCATACTCGCTAGGCTCATCATCTGCAATAGAAGAGGGATGGGAGGGGGTGTAGCCCTCCGAACTCATCCATCTTCCTCAAATTACGCTTCATTTCCTTATTCAGCTCCTGACTTTTTGGCTACCATGAGAGGCGGTAGTTTCCCAGTGGATACCAATAGACAGAGGGGCCGAACCCCCTTAAGCTTGGACGACAGTGACTGGAAGCGCTGTGAGAAGGTTTACAACCTTCCCCTTCCCTAATCGTTGACCACACCAGCCAAATCAACTATTATTAATTTTGATTGATGATTAGTAATTACTTTGGATTCAGGGAAGCGACGTAAAACAAGGGCGCCATTGTTAAAATTTAGGGACGGATGGCACCAGAGTCGTGAAGGAGGTTAGGCAGATGTTTTTCCCCGACTTGTCTAAAAGAAAACCTTTTCTTCGGAACCAACACAATGTATTTGGCCTCGGAGAAGTGCAAAGATAATTATCCCCCGGAGGGAAATATTGTCTGAAGAATGGGACAGAATAAAAGACTTGAATGAGAGGGTCAACTACAAACTAAAACGGAGCTCAATTCCAGATTTACAAAGTAAATGCTATAACAATACCAAGACTTCGGTTTGCCACAAACTTACACGGTTTCAGTTTTAAGACGTTAATAGTCGCGCACTGTAATTTCATCAAACATTACCTATAATATTGTGGGTTCCTAAATATACTTTATTCGTATTCCTGATAATAATTATTAAAGTGCAAATAAACAAAAAGAATAAACACTGACTATTATTACCACACTGTCTATCGCGTTATTTGCATAGTAGGCATACAAAACGTGCTATGTATCCAATTTAAAATCTAGTCATAAGGTGTTTATCCATATGTTTCCATAAAAAAATGACGATTATACTCTTTTTTTCTTATTGTTTAATCCCGCTAATCTTTTTTTTTCTGAATAGTTTTTTTTCTCGATTGTTAATTTCATTTAAAATTATTTTACCGTTTAAATGGCATTTCGTACTGATGATGATTAGCCCCTATTGAGTCCTGGGGGCGCGAGCTCTCCAACTGCCCGTCTGATTGCATGAACATAAACATGTCACCTCCGACTCTGATTAGCAATGTAGGACCAGGGATGCTAATTATTCTTATAATTGCAAATGACTCCATTCACCATTACCTCTCTTTGATCTATTGAAACCAGACAGCTTCCTTCTCCGCTTCCTTTAAGTGGACTTAAAGTGTGGGCTACAATCAGACAACCCTACAGCACATCTTGGATTTAAAAGAATTTAGATCAAACTTCTCTGACGAGGAGCGCAAGTTCGTTTGTCGTCTGCGTTTCTTTGCTGAAGAAAAACGACTTGACGTTATGGATGTGTCGGATACTGTACTTAATGTTTGTATTTAAAGCCATCAAAAGAAAATCTAAATTAGTAGCAATTATGAAACCGACCACTTTTTAAATTATAAAATTTAAACTATTATGCAGTTTTAAAATGGGTATATAGTTTGAAACCTTCGAAAGTAGTCCAATACTTGGCAAAATAAAATATTTAGGAAAATAAATATACTCGATTTTTTTTTCAGAATATATCAGAATAAAATGAATTACAATAATTGTAAAAATATTTTAGAATTCTATCTTAATATAACTGTATGGTTTTGTATATATTGGGCCTGTACATTTTTTGAGTTATTTTAAATTCTCATTCATAAATTTGTTGTAGTTCTTGTATTTCGTTTTTGAAGGCAGTTATAAAAGTGAAAGGCCTAATTTAGATAATCAGCATTGCTAGTTGATACAATACTACTATTATTATTGCGTTAATAGTTTTAGATTAACCCGTATTAGTAGCAGCAGTAACATGGATTAAGGTTTGTAGGCCTAAATATAAACTGATATTCTTTCCTTTGGCGGTTATGTGTTTATGTCCATGTTGGTCCCTTGTTACAGGAACAAGGGATGCACCCTGTTTGCTGAACGACATTTTTAGAAGCGATAACAGTTATCAGACATGTTTACAGTTCTTCGTTATGAGCTAATTATATTGCTCAGTGTATGATTGAAGCCGTTTAAAACCGTTGATAGCTTTAATTTAATTATCTGCTAAAATGCAACTTTTTGAAAAATGTTTCGTAAGATAGTTTTTAATTTTAATTATATAGCAATCTGTGTATAGCTCCGTTGGTAGGAATTTATTATAGGTAGCCGGAAAGATTTCTGCCTTGACAGCGTTTTGGCGCTTTAAAGCGCTTCATTTAACGCGTTAATTACCGCCATGCCGCGTGTCTCTCCTCACCTGCCTGATATTCAGACCTTACGGCTACTGTAAACGGCGGCTTGCGTGGCTCCCGGCCACAATATGCGCTCATTTCTTGAGAGGGTGTTAGAGAGCACTGACAGGTTCATTACCCGAGCCGGCGCATTGTCCCCGTGTCACAACACTCTGTCGCCGGCCCACCACTCTCTCCAATCATTTGGCCTTTCATGGTAATTGTTCACACGCAGGCCTCTTCTCGACACCAGATAATCATAATAAAAGAGAGAGAGACGTAGCAACGCCTCACAATTCGACAAGAAACAGCATGTGGCACGCATGAATCCTACACGTATGTTTTTCTTTGAAGGAGGACACCCGAGAGACAGCTTGCAAGTTTCGTTGACATTCATTACGTATTTTCTGTTATACTTTCGTAAAATGCGGCTGAAGTACAAGTTACAGGTTGCCGCAATCTCCATCCTTGCTGCTTGGAAAGTTGCGCAGATTATGATATTTATTGCTGTTTTAACGCAATTGCGTAAATTATTGTTGTAGATTTGTCATTTGTTGTGTTTGTCGTGTTTGATTAACAGAAAAATGCGACTTATCTGTGATGTTCTAATGCGGTAATAATTGCGCTGACATGCGATAACAGCACAATGCCACTAATGATTCAATTAATTATGTCATTAGTAAGATTGTTGAAAAGTATATACTCAAAATTTAAGCTTTGGTAGGTGAAATGTATTAATATACCAAATACATGAATATGCATGCTAGATTGTTTTCACGCTCATTGAAGTTTTAATGTGAACATTTTATGATTAGAAATTTTTAAAAAGTTCAGTTAATACAAATTTGAGTATCTGAACTCTGTGTATTAAATTATTACGTGATTGATGTAAGCTATATAGTCAATGTTATCCGTTCGCATTATGTCATTTAACTTGTCACTGCTCAATAAGAAAAGGCTACTACTACTACTACTACTAATAATAATAATAGACATAAAAGTATAGAGTATACAGAACCCTATATAAACCAACTTGTGCATTTAATTCAGCACAATTACAAATGGTTTTATGATAGAATAGAATTTTAGGAAATAAGCATTTCTTATCAAATAACCACTGGCCATCGTTTACACATATAAGGAACACATGTATTGGCATTGAGGAAATATTTTATGAGAATTTAATAATTTGCAACATTCTCCTACGAGAAAAAACAGCATTTACACCGTGGTGATTGTGTAACAAGCTATACAATTACAATTAAACTCCTCTTCTAAAATACGTATATGCAGAATGTTCATTAAAAGTTCAGAAAATGTTTGCCTTCACTAAGCAATAGTTACTGATGTATGAAAATACAAAATGTAAGCCAGCAATTTTCATGCTTTTAAGCAGGGATATATCACAGGGAAAGTTATATTTAAAATCTAGGTGCTTTCATTGCACTGTATTGACCAATACGAGATAACCGTTTTTGGTAGAGTAAACGAATTCGTTATATTATATGGTCATCCTTCGTAAAAAATATCTTTAACATCATAGATCTTCTTTGCGTAAAGTGTCGAATTAAAAATTGTTTGATACTCACGTGTCAAATTGTATCATTTTACCATATCCTACCATTTCGAAAAAATATCCGTGATGAAGTCTGCGGCCGTCATACATTCTTGTGCTTGTCTGATGCTTAATTGTTATTTAATTTTAAGTTGTTTAAATTTTCCTGAAATTTATGCGGAAAGTTTCTTCTAAACCAGTACCAATACACAGCTCCTATTTGAATGTTTGTCGCACTTTCAAGGTTAGGGCGCCCTCTTGTGGACGATTAGTTGTCAGTCAATACGCGAAGATCTGTTGCTGTACTGGTAATAGAACCTTGCAAATACCTCACGTGAAAAAAAACATCGTATATCAACCTAACAAAAATAAATAACACTTTTTTTTCTGATAAAATAGCGATACAGAATAACATTTTTGGGTTAATTTTTAGTCTAAAGGAATAATATAAACAATTATTTAAAAACCGTTAAGTCTTCAGCACAAGAATACAAATACAATTAATGCAAGTATATACTTTAAGTTAGTGGTACATATCTAAAATTATATTCTATGCCATTCTGCAAAGTGTGGTGCTCGCTTGGTTCTGAAGGTTTGTCAGCCTTGAGGACTTAATCAGTGTTCCAGGGGTTCCTCAGAGACAGAAAGCTCATCCGTTTCTTCTACCTCATCAGTGGATGTAGTCCCGGAACTCCAGGAGCAGGTATTTCTGCAAGAAGGTGGGCAGACCCAGCTTGGGCACGACATGGGGTACCCGTCCCTCCAGGAGACCCCGGATCTTGCAGCGAGCCAGGTGCTGGAGTGAGCGCGGCATCTGGGTCAGGATGAACAGAGACTCGTAGAACCCCCTGTGCTCCTGTAAAGAGGTCGAGACGCATTAGTGGCTGCTGTGTTGCGTAGGAGACCACGTCTGTTACGCACAGCCCTCTGCCGGTTCTCAACTTAGCCTTTCTGAATTTGAGAACCTTCTCCACGTGCTGAGAACTGTGGGGACTCACCTGGAAGACCTCGTAGGGGACAGCCTCCCTCCAGGTGTCCGTGATTTTGAGGCGGTCGTAAGCATTCAGGATGACCTCAATGGTGCGAGGTGAATTACAGCAGTGTTTTAACAACTGTAGAAGACAGAAACCAGGTTCCTCTGAGTGACATTTCCAGTAAGGGAGAACCTCAAGTGTCTCTATATCTTTTTGCCTGATCTAGCTGGATTGCACCCCCCAAGCCTTATGTTCTAGTATAGTCATGTAAGCGTAAGTTCCATTACTCTAGATCATGAATCATAATCTTATCCATAATCTAACTGTTCAGAGAACCATCTGTTGACCTTCCAACTTCTTATCTATTACTTGGTTGCAGAACTGTGTGAAGAACCAATTTAGGAAGCAACACAATTTTGAACCTGCAGCATTTTTTTCATAATCGATGGCTAATCTGGCCCCACTGTTCCTCTGCTCTGCAAGCTGGAGGAGCTGAATGTTGGATCCATGAAAGCCTCTGTTTAGATCTGGGAGCCCAGGGGTGTCCCAGGGAACGCATGAGACAGCTGAGCAGACTGAACCCCCCCCCCCCCCCGCCACCTCGGAGGGATCCGTGGGAGAATCAGCAATTATGGCTAATTAATTTCTTATTAACATTGCCTAATTAGGAGTCGGGCAATTTGTTTGAAGGAAGAGGGAGCAGGGGGAAATTAACAAAAGTGTGTATATATTTCTTCTCCTTTCCTGAACGGCGTGGTGTATCGATATGGGGAAGATGGTGTCCTTTGCCCCTGCCATTTTTCCTCGTTCTACTGGTAGTCACAGGGCTGTATCCAGTGTCAGAGAAAGGCACGTTGTGGCGCCCCCTCCTGGCCATACCTTTGGCAGCGCCCCGGGCCAGACACGGGTGGAGCCGTGGTTGAGCAGGGCGCGGACGATGCGCTCGGGGTGGTGGGTGGTGGCCTTGTAGGCCACGGCCTTCAGCACGTTGTGCATGGGCGTGTCGCCGCTGTAGCACATGTCGTTGACCTTGGCGCCCTGCTGCAGCAGCAGCTCGGCCACGTCGGCGTTGACGTTCTTGCTGGCCATGTGCAGCGCCGTCTGGCTGTCGCGGTCCTCCGCGCGCACGTTGGCCCCGGCGCTCACCAGCAGCTGGCACACCTGGTGATATCGCCGCAGGTCCCCGGCCGCCTGCGGCTGGGCGCAGGCCGCGATCAGCGGCGTCTGGCCCTCGTCGTTCTGCCGGTCCAAGGCGGCGCCGTGCCGCAGGTACAGGTCGGCGTGGTCCGGGAGGCCGTGCCGCGCGGCCACGTGCAGCGGCGTGTCGTCCTCCTCCAGGCTCCGCCCGTTGACCGCCGCGCCAAATTGCAGCAGGTGTTTCGCACATCTGTGTAGAAGCGAAATGACAGCTACCAATGAGAAGTTTTCATAGTACTTTGGCGTCTTTGACCGGCACAATAGATCTCATCACCTGACACCCCCAGGGTCAGTGGTTCGAATCCTGCCTTTGCTTTATGTGGAATTTGCATGTTCTCCCATTTTATCTGGCAGGTTCCCTCCCAAAGTCCAAAGGCACACAGGCTGATTTGTGTCACTTGCAGTCACCTTAGTGTGTGGGTAAGCCCTGTGATGGACTGGCATCCCATCCAGGGTGTCCCCTGCCCTGTGATGGTCTGGCATCTTTTCTATGGTGTTCCCTGGTCTTGTGGGACAGGATCTTGCTCCATGACCTTGACCAGGATAAGTGGATGGAATGCATGGATACTTACTATCTCAGCCATGCTTTACTAGCTGACATATGGGTTGATCCTCTCCATCTGTTGCTTTACGCGCATATTGTAAGCATCTGCCCAATGAATGTGTGTGAAATGCTTTTTGTTACATTGGAAAAGTAATGGTCAGAACAAACGCGGAGCAGTTGATGTTACAAAGAACATGACGATTTCCTCTTTCTTTAGTGTGTGAAGCTGTGGAGGATATGGGGGGTGGGGGTCTGTTTTTCTGTATAGTGGTAATGTGGGATGAAATGAAGGACTTAAAAATGCTGTCACATTGCAGAAATTAGAATGTTAACCCATTAATTATTGATCTCTGTGGGGAAATTCTCTCTGCACCTGCCCGGACTCACTCTCCATAGGTGAGAATGAACTGGTCCTAAAGGGCAGCCACCCATAGCAGCTGGGGTTAAAGGCCTCACTCAAGGAGCTATAGATGTGCTGTGGCTGGGCTCAAACCAACAACCTTCTGGTCACTGACGCAGAGGCTTAGTCCACTGAGCCACACACTACCCCATAATAAAAGACTGTCTGACTTAAGGGTAATGGAATCTTCTGGTAAGGGTTCCGTCTTTAGGAAACCTTGTGTCTTCCATAGGAGTTTATATAGTTGTATAATTTAAATAGATGTGAAGTATACAAGGTTCAGTAAGAGTAGGGTTAACAATATAATGTAACAATTACTCGGAGAAATTGCGAAACGTCAGTGAGCGACTTCATATGGGCTGCTGTAACCAATCCAGAGACTCTGTCAGCATTTTCTGGCAAATTAGTTTGCCCTAATTTGCATACATAATTGTCTCAGTAAGTATTGATTAATTTTCAATTTCTTTTTTCCTGGTGTAACCATACAGAAAGTCAGTGCATGGACACGATATTTCTGTAAAGTAAAAAAGGTATCTGATATTGGTACTTATCCCTGTTTCAGGAGCACGTTTTCAAACATATTTGACAGTATTTCTCAGAGGGAGCTGACAGGTTTACTCTCGATCTTAGTCCTGGCTTTAGGACTTCGGTTTCTCGGTAGTAGGTGCAGACATATGCGGGGAAGTTAAGAGTCCTAATCTAATTTACTAACTGTGCTGCACCGTGTTAATGACGTCGTTATTCAAACTGAGCGGCCATTAGCAAGTTTAACTGAGAGGAGCAAAGTAACTGCTAAGAAAAAGCCTTTGATTGTCAGTGAAATTAAAAGTAAACCGGGTTAAATGAGTTTTCCTACTGTTTTGACCTCCGGTGCAGTGGTTTTGCAGTGTTCTGTTACTCAGGCTCTCACTGCTGGTGTGTGGCCTGATGCAGCTCTTGTTCCTGCACTGCAGGGTCTGCTGATCAGGGTCGTGAACTTCGTTTGTTGTTTTTCTTTTCGCAAAACCCTTATTTTTCGCATTATTTTTATTGTATTTGGTTATAGCGGGAGACAATATTTTAGCTCTTCAGAGAAGCTCAAGCAATATTGAATGTTTCGTACAGCCCCTGCTTGTGCTTGGACAGGAGAAACGTGAACCATTACCCTGGTAATGACATGTCTGCTATGTTCTGCAAACAATAACTTTAAAACAGATTTTGTATATTTAGTTGACACTTCTAAAGTGGCATACAATTAGGAAAGCAGGGTCAGACAGCCCTGGGGCAATTGTGGTTGAAGGCCTTGCTCAAGGGATCAACAGTGAAATCACTCTATTGATGCTGGGATTTAAACCAACAACCTTCTGATCATGGCTATAGCATCCGAGGCCACACAGCCACACACACCACTCCCGATGCCATAACAGCAGCTGGTGAAATGCTGTAAATGCAGTGGGCACGCTTCGGCTGGAAATGCAATAAATATAGTGAATGCGCTTCGGCTGGAAATGCACTAAATGCAGTGTACAAGCATCTGCTGGAACTGCGCTAAATGTGGTGAACAAGCAACGGCTGGAAATGCGCTAAATGCAGTGTACAAGCGTTGGCTGGAAATGCGCTAATTGCCATGAACAAGCATTTGCTGGAAATGCAGTAAATGCAGTGAACAAGCATGGACTGGAAATGAACTAAAGGCGCACAGAGGCTGCTACCCACTCCAGGGACTCGGGGAAGATGCACAAATGCAGCGGCGCAAGGCCATCCTCATTGGTAGCGTTGGCGTTGGCGCCGTAGGAGAGCAGCAACCGGGCGCACTCGCTGTGGCCGCCCTCGCAAGCCTCGTGCAGTGCTGTGGTGCCCCCAGGAGCCAGTTCCACGTTGGCGTCTCGCTGCAGCAGGTGCCGGAGGCAGTCAGCGTAACCGCGGCTGGCCGCAATGTGCAGCGGGGTGGTGAGCTCCTGCTCGTAGGTCAGCGACCATAGTCCTGCAGGGGGGTGGAGGACCAGGTTCAAAAATACAGATACAGCTTCCAGCTCCAGGTATAATTCAGCAGGTTAGGGATCTGGGTCTGAGTTCAGATCCTGTGGCTGGTAGATCCTGTGCTGATACTCCTACGAACCCCAACAGAATTAATGCATCAATTAATGCAGCATAATTAATTTCAAAACAATGGAAAAATTAGCAGTACGATTGGTTAGCAAGGTCGTCCCCCACCTCTGGAAACCAGGGTTCAAGTATGCATGTTCTCCCCGTGTCGTCGTGGGGTTTCCTCCCCACGGTCCTAAAACATGCTGAGGTGAACCGCAGCTGCCAAGCAGCCTGTAGGAAAACTGAGAAGATGTGCATTAAATGCCAAAGAACCCAGGTTCAGCGCAAACTGGCAAATGTAAGTAAATGATGTGCAGGGAAGCCGCCTGGTGATTTAATTATGAACTGGCCCAGACAGGATATGTTGAGGGAATCCAGCACAAGACTGACAGGATCAACAAGTGCAGCTTTTGAACGTGAGTCAGGAGCTGGAGCAGTCTTGCCAAGAGGCAGATGACCTGGCCTGCGCTTGGCCACTGTAAACACAAGCCTGAAATCCCAAAACAAAATGTCACTCCACGAATAGCACAAGCTCTTCATCGGACGCGGCACTAAAATAAACAGCATTGATTGCCCGGGGAAGGCTGCCCCTTTAAAAACACTGCAGATAATATTTGATTCTCGTAAATTCCCCGTGTTTCATCAGTTCTAGCCTTTATGAATCATGTTTTATGGATGAATCGCGCCATGTGCCAAAACCTGGGGCTGGTCCTGGACGGTGTAATTACCATGGATACAATGTAATCGCCTTGTTATTTTGTCAGTTTGGGCATCGAGCAGCTCGTAAACGAAGGGATGAGATCGGGACCTACTCAGACTCCTGTAGTTCAGCCTGTGGGTCTTCCACTCGTCGATGTTGCTGGTGTCATAAATGGCGTTGATCACATGGCTGGATTCGGGGTCGTCGGCGATGCCCACGACGGTGATCTCATCTCCCACCATGAGGGCGTGCCAGAACTGGAGCTCGTAGCCCCTGGCCTTGGCCGTAGCGATGACATCGTTGCGAATCTTCTTCGGCTTTCGCCACTTGATTTTCGTCCCCATCCTGCGTGGCCGGTCCCGTGTCCCGCCGGCCGAGGCTGCGAGTGGTTTTCTGTTTGGCGCTTGGAGGTGCAGATCCCTGTAGGCGGACTCTGATGAGCGACGAGGTCCGGGGAGCCTGTTCCGCCCGTCTGAGCTGTACTTGAGCGGTTGGCCCTCATTTTAAAGGAGGAATAGTGTTATGCGATACGCACCTCAGCCGTGAATGGCCAAAAAAACCCAGGCAGCGGGACAGGAGCTGCCTCAGCTGTTAAAGGGCCAGCAACATCCGACCAACACAGTCTGGACCAAAGCTGGTCACTTGGCCACGTCTTGTAAGGCTGGACACCCGGATAACAGCAGTGCGCGGATCACAGGAAGGGTGGAATATGATGGGTATACCGGAGTGATTCATTAGGTCGATGCAGTGATGGAGGATCACTCATCTCTGAAGAGTGACGGGCTCACCTGAGTGACGAGTAACTGACCAAAGCTTGTGACTCAGAACCGGTCCATTTGTGGGAGAGGGGAAAAAACAAAGGATCGTGTACATTCAGATTCTACCTGAAACTGTTCTCATCACAGAGGGCTTGTGAAATAAGTGTGGCGGGTTCATAGGTGATGGCAGAGGCTGCGACGTCACGTCCTCCCGCTAAGACTCGATAGCGAGTCAAGCCTTTTTGCTCTGATGTGTTATTTTCCATTGACTCGGGAGAGGAAAAGCTTAGAGCACAGTTGTCTCATCTTTCGCTCAGTATCGATCCACCAAAAACACCCATATTTCACATATAATCCTGCCCATCGATTCGCCGCTGATCCACCCATCGCGTTGTGGACCCCTGCATCCACAGAAAGTGACACATTTGCAATGTGTCACTTTTTTGCAGACTGCATGCACTGGGAAGAAAATGAGTTTTCTGTCATGATTTTGCATACGGCATGCATTTAAAAGATCTAAATTGTCTAATTTGCTGTGCTGTATAATACGAGTAGGACCTCGCAATCGCAGTTGTTGTGGAGGTCCTGTAAATCATGCTTATTTTGCTGCAAGAGATGTAGTTCATTTCCTCCTTAATGTCTTAAAGGTACAGTAGCTTCGCTGCTTAATGACTGGGTGGTCCAATTATCTGCCTTCACACAATTCATGTAAATCTTGTGCAGAGAGATAACATTAAGAAATGTATGAATATCAAATTTACGAACATCGGGAATGAAATGATTTAAAGAACAGAACACGATCTAATCTATTACTTCCACTTTGATTTTGCTTTTAGTAGCTGATGACTAATCAGTTCCTGGATGTTTGTTCTATATTTAACCATTAAGTGAAGCAGTAGTTCTTCACATTACCACTCAGACCAGAATGCCACACATTGTTTGATTCTACAATTAAATTATTTATGGTCAAGAATAACAAGAATACATCAATTGGTTGTGCTTTTGGGTTAAGGGGTTAGACCAGGGGTGTCAAACTCCAGTCCTGGGGGGCCGGAGCCCTGTGTAGCTTAGTTCTTTCCCTGTTCCATCGCAAATGATTCAGCTCAAGAGCTGTGTGGTAATTAGCACAAGGAGTTGAATCAGGTGTGTTAAACGAGGGTGAACCGAAAACTGTGCAGGGCTCCGGCCCCCCAGGACTGGAGTTTGACACCCCTGGGTTAGAGTTCCCGTGATTCCGCATGGCCAAACCTCATACGGTCACACGGTCACCGCCTTTGACGGGACGGGACACGTAAGGGCAGGCCGGGGGCACCAGAGTCCCACAGGAACCCCGTGAGCCGGCTGGCGTCACTCGGCCTGGGCTGTTTACGGGATCACCTGGGTAGGCCCACGTGCCAGCTGGGGGGTGGATGACTGTGTAGCGACAGGTTTATAGCCAAAGCAGGGGTGTTTCCTGCTTTCAGGACCAGTGCTATGAATCAATGAGCTCTGATTTTTGGGGCGATAAGATAAGTGATAAGATCATTACTAACTAGACCCAACTTAAATTTGAAATAAGCATGTAAGTCACCTTTTACACCCTCTCTATCTCACCCACCCATTCAGCCTCGTTAATAAGATGCTTTGTACAAATTAACTAATTAAATAAAGAACACTGAGCATCGATAATATTTACTTAATTTGTTTTAGCCTTAAGCAAAGTAATAGCAGTGCTTACCACTGAATTCTTCCACAAATTATTATTATTATTAATATATGTTCAAAGTGCGTCAGATTTTTTTCCAGCACTGGCTTTTTTCCTTTGTTCTTTTCTTCTCCCAAGCTGAGTAGCTAAAATTGTAATAATAATGTACATAATAATGTAACTGTCATATGTATTTCTGTATTTGCGCAGTACATGTAATGCTAATTTAGTCTCGCTTGCATTAATGGGCAACGCGTCCCCATTCTCTGAAACACACACTATTACCTAAAAGACCTGCATGTGCGTATCATTTTATTTAAATTATGGTGAGAACGTGCAGCTCCACGCCTCCAACCGGTTCATTTGAATTGCTAACATATAGCTCAATTTTTATGCATTAATGTGCATTAATACGCATTTAGTCGCAGTACAAGTAAGACTGAAGTCGAAGTTAAACGTTTAATTTAAATCTGCGTTTCCTTGTTTGTGGAATGAGAGTTTAATTTAAATGTGTGACATGGTCTTATCCTGCTACGCCCTGACTGGATCTTAGTGGCTTTTTTGCCCTGTTCCTATTGGACGGCCTGGGCTCCGGTGGCCGATACGTGAGTCTTACCCTCGTTCTGGCAGACCCAGCGCATGTCGCCGCCCCGCGACTCCACCAGGAGGTCCACCGGCGCCCCCCGGGGAAACAGCCTCTGCACGGCTTCCAGGTTCCCGGTGAAGAGGGCGTTGTGAACCACCAGGTCGCGGCACAGCGGTGGGGCCCCCGCGAACCGCCTCTGGACCGCCGAGGCGGGGCCTGTGTCCCGGGCCTCCTTGTGAAGCAGGTAGGCGCTGAGCCGCGGGCCCCCCCCCTCCAGCCACCTCCGCTGCGAGCGGCGCTCCAGCTCGGCCCTGTCCACCCGCAGCGAGCGCAGCGCCAACGGGGTAAACGCAAAGCTGCTGTGAGTCATGGCTCCCCACGCTCTCTGCCCCCTGCCCAGCGCGGGGAGCCTGTTTTGATACAAGATACCCAGCAGCCTCCTGCCCCCTCCCTGCCCCGGCCCTCGTGAGGGGCTATTTATACCCCCATATGCGCCATTTCCCCGAAATCTTTTCATGGCTGCTCGGAGGGACAGCTGTTTTATTTCACGGCATGGCACCAGCCAGCGCTGTCACGCTAAAACTCGGCGCTCTGGTGTTTTGGCTGCCATGGTGCGTGTTTGCCGAGCGGCGGCTGGACGCGGACTCAGGGAATATGAATTATGTGATGTGCTCAATGTAACGTGGCTGTATGCAATGGGCTTTGAATAAAACTGAGGGTGGTGGGGGGGGGGGGGGGGGTATATTTGAATCACCACCTAGTGGTAGGAATCTGTATGCTGGGCATCCAAACCCGGGGAGGTTCTGTGGCACCATCAGTCATGCGTCTAAAACAGTCTTTGGCAGGGGGGAGGGACACGTGATCCAGCAGGGGTGTCCCAGAAGGACAGAGCAGGTGGCTGTGAGCGAGATTGCGGGTGAGAGCGAGGGGGCCACATCGCATGAAGCTGCCTGGGTCGGCCTAGCTACCGTTCCTGGGTGAGGAGCTCCCCCCCCCCCCAATGTCAGTACGCACACCTGACTTAATTGTAAGGGAAGACGGTTATCCCTGACTGTTTATCCTCCCCCATAATTTTCATCTTCCTGGTGAAGGGCTCCTGCTTTCCCTTAAACCTTTATTTTTTTACTGTTTATAGAGTACTTCAGTCAGTATTACATTCCTCCTATGTTACTACTCCCCTGTGGTATACTAATACCATTTGGAAGATACTTCAATTATTCAATACTCTCCACAGCCCATTAAGGCCAAATTGAGAGACATGTCATACTTTATAAATGGGTGTGTACGATTCCCACATCATGGCATGAAGTTAGTTCACTGCCTTGTTTCTGAATGTGTTTTCAGGAGGAGATTCATCACGAGGTCACGTGTTAGGAGGTATTAAATAGCCGGTCGAGTTGCTTTCCATGGAATACTTGCCGTGAACATTGTGTCTTTTTGAGGGAATCGCATTGTGATGTCATAATGATAGAGGAATGGTCAGGGTCCTATGAATGCTGAATCCCAAATGAGTAAAGGCTGGGGTGGCACTGTTGTTTGCTGGGAAGGGACAGTCTAAAAGCCCCTTTCCCTAATTTACAGTGCGATTGTTCAGCTAACTGCGATGAAACGAGACACACATCGCTGCTGTCATTTAATAACCTACGAAAGAATGAAAATGCACATCTTACCGCACACATGGATTTCAGAATACTGACAGTAGGGTAGCCATAGTAACCGTGTAGGTGTCCTCAGTACCAGATGGATGAATAATCTTTAAGACACGGCACAAGTCCAGCTTCCCATCTGCCCTCCGAGATCAGCGGGGGAGATGAGTGGCGTTTCCAGAGGGGGGGGGGTGGGGGGGGGGGGGGGGGGGGCTGGTTGTGGAAGGCCCACGAACTGCCCCCGCTTCCCTGGCGCACATTAGCACAGTGCACCGACATTAATGGACATTAGGACGAAAACAGCACCACCGCTGTTCCTCCTCCGCCTCCCCCCGCTGTCGCCCTAGGCCACACCGGCGACGTTCCATCGGCGGTAGGACAGCACGCGCTTACAGCTATCATGCCCGCATCCTGGGCATCCCACAGATATGCTACATTTGACTGATGAACAATTATTTGCCAGGGACAGGGGGGGGAGGGGGGAAATGGACTGCACTAAGTGTTCCGCTCGACTTTATGGGCCTCCGGTTCTAAAAATAAAGAGGACTGTGCTGAAAAACAGGACGGACGCTTGTGGCGGCCGCCCGCTTGGCCCTCGGCGGTACGGGAAAGAGACGGACGATGTTTGATGCGGCGGCCATCATTGGCGTGGAAAACACTGTCGCGCTTCCAGAGGGGAGCAGTTTGAAGTGAGAAATGCTTTTTGGCTGCTCTCCGTGTGTGTTTTTATGATGGTCCACCTTATGAACGAGTTCATCGCAAGGGCTACACACCGAGCCAATGGCAAAAGACTAGCGCCAACAAAGACTGTCGAATGGTCGGCTCCCTTCGGCTGACGTTAGCAGCCTTTGGCTTCCATCGATTCGTGAAAATTTGTGCCGGAACATTCCGGCATGACAAGAAGCGTCAGTTAACAAACAGGCCAATAAGAGAGCTGTTTAGCCAACTAGCTCCGACGCAGATTCAACATGGAAAATTGCCCCAAACAGTGCCAACAGTGACTAACCGTGCCCAACAGCAGCCCAATGGACAGTCACCGACTATCACCGACTATCACTGACTATCACCGACTATCACCGACGCCCCAGCGACTTTCAACAGCCGAAAATTGGTTTGGTGTGTTCCCAGCTTTAAAGGTGTGGCATGGGCGTCCCACACGAGTCGTCACATGCAGGGGCTGTAAGCCTGACATTGCTCAGCGGGGTTGGGGGTCACAGAGGACAGAAGATAGAAAGCAAAGGTGATGGGGGAGGGTTGGGCAGGCAGGGACGTGGAGATTTTATGTTTCAGATGGGAAATGTTGTGCTTCATTTTAATATGATTGGCTCCCACAAATAAATTAATAAATATATATCTTGGGGGCCTGGTACAAAATCTGTATAATCCTGCAAAAGAGTTATCAATTCTTCAAGTCTTTTAATGTATTGACGTTACTATACAATATCTCTATAGCATATCTATAGTCATAATTAGTTTTTGTAAAACGAGGTTTATGGTGCAACGACTCCAGGTGAGATATACAGAGCTGTGAAGTTTGCAAAAATAAAAACGCGTCTTCGCCGGTGTGAGTGTTTTTGAAAGATACACCTTGCTGAAAAACTTGCTATTAGCGGGCGTAGAACCCAGTAAACAGTATTACATTCAGATCATCTGTTCATAGGTGTATTAGGACAACCAGCATTTAGCCGCTTCCGCCGTCATTTCGCATCATAGCGAAAGCAGACAGACCTAAACAACGTAATACATAAAAATGGAGGATTTCCCCTCAACTGAAAAAGCATTTGTGCCCTATTGATGTTATTTCCTTACAGATATTATGCTTTTTGCGCATTTCCATCCGAAAACATGGACTCGAGATGTCCCAGCCATACCTTAACGACCATGCTGGTATGGAAATCAATGCAATTTATTCGATTTTACAGTTCGATAATAGATGTCACATTAACTGAAGGCATCTAAGAGTTTCGACTTTGCAAACACACATTACCAGAGAGAGACGGGTAATATTGTATTTGCTGCCGATGTGCATCCTTTTAAATGATATCTATAATGAGTTTATAATATGCATCTGGGCTACCTCCTCTCTTCTTTGATGTCTTCTAAATGGCCCGGGTGT